GAATATGCAGCCTTCTGAAAATTCTTACATTTTACTGTACGCCGTCTGAATACGAACACATTCAGTCTAAAACCTTACTCTATTTAACTCTTTGCGGTCGGTAGATTTCGCTGACGGGAGTACCAGAAGGTCGGAGCAAATTTAGCCCTTCGCAGTTACTTTTCCGTACGGATTTAAAGTTAATATATGGATATTAAAACACATAGAATTTGTTGAAACTGATTTGTTGTGTTTAATAGTATTATAATACACAAAAACATAAATTTTTAATTGCTGTAATTTTCCAAAGTGTGATATTTTGCAAAAAATCCCCTATTAACCTCGCCGAAGATATCAGTATCTGTAAGTTGATCCAAACATTTGAATACGACGTCGAGAGTATAGTTTTCTTTCATTGTCGCTAGCCTCGGTCACAAGGTTGAATTGGTGCATCGCCCAGCGTGGGGCTCGAGCCCACGGCCCCGAGGTTAGGAGTCTCGCACTGCACCGACTAAGCCAGCCGGGCTACTATTCATAGTAGTGGATTAAAGATTTTATTCTTTTCATGAAGCGGCCATTATTATATTCAGAGGGTCAAATCTATTCAGATTTGACCCTCTGACTGCAGAATTTTAAAAAATTAACTATTTAGATCCGACGTTTGCAAGCATGTTCAAATACGATTGAACAAAGCGAATTGCTATTTAGCATATGCAAAGCTTTATTAGTATACTATGATTCAATCATATTGCTACGAAGCTGTAAAGTTGTTTCCCTAACATGCTAACCTTATGACAAGAAAGAGGGTTTTACAGAGGTTTTACTGGAAGCCAAGCGAATGAACCCCGAACTTGGCGACCATTTTGGCGATAAAACGGAACTTCTAGAAAACGGGGGTGATTGTGGCTTCATGAAAAAATACTTGAAATTTTAGCAGGGAAATTATGTGTAAGGAACGGATATGTATTCATTCATTACGGCGCAGATTCAACTTTTGCATGCAGTTTTTAATATACTTTTTTTCACATAAGAAATTGATTTGATTTATTTTGTCTTAGTTCATGAGTTTTCAACAACATTCTTCAACACACATGAAAGAAACCATGAAAATTGATAACAAAACAATATTTGAAATATAATATTTTGTATGAATACCATTAATGAATGTATATATAAATTCTTAAGTGAGGTAGTTATTCTTAGTTATGATACGTCATTTTCTAAAAAAATCATTTGGATTGACTCAGCGTAATCCAAAGTAAACAACAAGAAGATATGAAAAAAAATGCACTAAACCTAAATTTTTTTCCTGGTTTTTCATATTTCTTATTAAAAAATGTTTCATATTACTACAAAAATAATTACTCATGAAATGATTTTTTAAGAAAATGAAAAGTAGGACTTCTAATTATATTTTGAATAAAACATTTCATCCTAGAACTCCGTAGTATGGATTACAATTTGTGTAGTCCATAGTAGAAGCCGAAATTGCGTAGAAACTACGGAGAATCCGTAGTAGTTTGAGTCTTTGGCAAGTTTAAAAAAAAATAGATTTATCAGAAAATACCGGAATTCCGGTATTAAGGATGAAGAAAATACCGGATTTCCAGTATAATACCGGAACACAATCACCCTTGAGAAAATACAAGATATATGTCCCTATCTCTACTAGAAGCGGAAATATCGAGAGAATTCTGGAGAAGTCTACGTGACGTCACAACCTGTCGGAAAAAGTATAAATACCAATTTACGTTAAACGATCAGCCGGTCGTCTTTGAAGCTTTGATCGCAGAGCCAGCTGGTGTGCAAACAAACATTGAGCGCTAATGATTGAGATTTATTAGTGATCGGTGTTGTTTATTTATACAAGTGCTGTTTGTTACCTGTGCTCAGAGTTTTGCTGAAATCTTCGTGGAATGAATCTTTATTATTATTTTTTATCAAGAAATATGTCCCTATCTCTACTAGAAACGGAAATATCGAGAGAATTCTGGAGAATTCGACGTGACGTCACATCATGTCGGAAAAACTATAAATACCAAGTTACGTTAAGCGATCAGCCAGTCGTCTTTGAAGCTTTGATCGCAGTGTAAGCTGGTGATCAAATAAGCATTGAGCGCTAATGAAAGTGCTATTACTGAGATTTATTAGTGATAGGTGTTGTTTATATATATTCATACAATTGTTTAGTTTTGTCACCTGTGCTTAGAGTATTGCTGAAAACTTCGTGGAATAAAGCTTTATTATTATTTTTTATCCTGCTTGCAGAATTACATTCACGTACAACCACCGTACAATTTTTTGTAACAATATTATAATAATATATACTAGCAGTACGCGCTCGGCGTTGCCCGTGGGATCGGGACTTCAACAAAATAAAAAAAAGCCCACATACAATTACATAAATGAAAGTTTTAAAAACGAAATCAAAACAGAAATATATATATTATTGAGTTGGTCCGCCTCTTTTTCCTCTCGACCGAGTACCGTTAATCCAAAACAATGCTAAAAAATTACAATGTGATATTTATTACACCGCAAGTAAAGTATGAAAGGAAACGAAATAAGTTAAGACACGCTTAAAAATAATAATCGAAAGTCATCGAGTAAATAAATCATCTCCTCGCAGAACGCGAAAGTAATGACGTCACCCTGGCCCGTCAGCCAATGAAATTGCCCGCAGCGTTCCGGAGAGTGTCGCGTTCGGAAGCTAGAGGAAAAATATCGTTCAACTACCAGGAAAAAATTAATTTAAAAAAAACGAAAAAAGATATTTTAACCATTCTTGTTTTAAATCCGACAGAACCGTTGCAGTTATAAGCTGAAAAATTTTCAAAATGATATCTTTATTAGAACATCGAATGCAAGAGTTTTAAGGATTCCAGAAAATTTTATTTTTGAAAAGTGACTATTTTTTAAAAAATTCCCAAAATTCAGTAAATTATGTTAGAAATTCGAAATTAACTTCATTAGAACGGAAATCGCGTGCTCT